TCAGTTATTAGGGACATTTCCGGGGGGTCTCTATGATAAGGAGTATAGTGTTTTGGGGTCTATATGGAGGTCCCCCTATTTCGGGAAATTACCATTTCCTTGTGTACGATCCCTAGGAAGCTTTCTACAACCTGACAAGCATCCCAAGGACCCCATGAGATCATCTAAGACCCTGGTAATGAAGTATCCGAGTTATGACAAGGCAACGGACAATATCCTACTGTCTCTCTTCTAACTACTGCCATAAGCAACGCTAGTGGTTCGTAACAATTACCCAGCTCTTAAACCTTAAGTCGCTGTATCATTCTAGTCTGCATTTCATTTTGCATCGTCTTTTTCCATTTCATCCTCAATTTTGCTTTCATACCTAAACCCAATATATCCCAATATACCCCCTATATAGCTCCCGAACCTCAACCCTAAACAATACATATTCCTACATCTCCGTTGGCCCTAGACCCCGCGTCTCCTTGTATTTCTATACTGGATTGCTGTTAAGGAACTTGAATTTAGCTACCGTGCTATGGGTATGTAGTAAATGATAGGGTTTCCCTTTTTACGTAGTTACTTAATGTAAGTTCCTTAACAGCAACCCTAAGCCCTAAACCCTAGCAGCAAACCAGTTTAAGCTTGATTTTCAGGTGGGTGGACCACGCCGAGAAGGCCGACGAGGAGATCAAGGAGATCAAGCAGCAGATTGAGCGACTTTGCTGCGAGGGGCGTGGGTTTCAGGTTTAGGCTTCAGGGTTTAGGGTATCGGGTAGGTATGATTTTATTACCGGGCTGTGAAGAGAAGAATGGAGAACAGAAAGGCAAAGGACATGGAAAACTACATGGAAGACACTGTTTGGGGCTAAGGTGGGGGGGTTGAGGGTTTAGGGGATAGAGGGTTTAGGATTTAATTAAGGGCTTTAGGGTAGCATGATTTCGCGTTTTCGGTGGCAGGTTCAGGTTTCATGAAGAAGCTTGAATTGAAGAGCTAGCAGTACAATTCCTGAACAGTCTGTATGCGCACTCATAGTACATGTCTTCGAGGGTTGAGAGCATTACCAGAGGATTTCTGAAGCAGGGCTATTCCGCCCAGCGGACGCAGCGACCCATAACAATGATCGAGTGGACTGAAGGGGCCCTTTTGAAAGAACATACATGGTAGCTTTCCAAAATACAGAGACCCTAATATAGACCCCAGAGCGCTGTGTTCCTTTTATGGCCCCCCAAAATAGTACCCCCTATTCAGGAAACCCCCATACAGCCCTCCTGAAGTGCCTGGAAGTGGCCCATGCTGTGAAAAGGAACATTGGGTGTGCCTAAATGGGGGTTCCCAGAATTAGCGGTACCTTTCCGGTGGTCTCTCTAATAAGGACTATAGTATATTGGGGTCCATAATGGGGTACCCTAGACCCTTTAAACCCCTCGAAACAAGAGGAATGTGAATCTGGAAGCTGAAGCCTTCCTCCAAGAGTACGTGGAGGATCAGAGAGACTTCATAAGTAGGTTAATAATGGTGATGCTCGGAGTTACTGTATGGCTTCTACGGGTTCTAGGTACACTGACTAAGCCCTCATCACCCTACATGTAGTGAGTTTCGGTAGCTCCAGACCACGGCCCCAGAGAGGATCTGATTTTCTCAAAATCCTTTGTCAAGCCTGCTAGACCCCAAAAAGCAAGCGTGAGATCACAAAGACGAAGCGCTCTAAAACCCCGCATCCGACACAGATCTCCAAGATACTTCAACGAATTGACTGTTCACGAACTGGCTGTCCACAGCCTTTCTGGAGGTGATGGACACCCTTTTTGGGATACCGTTGTCAGATAAGCTTCACTTTGGTGTTTTTTGGACACTTTGAAGCCCAATAGGCAGCAAAAGGCCAGCCTTGGAAATGGCGAGCCATAGGGGCTGGACTAAGAGGTGATGGAGAAGCCTGAATGATTGGTGGTAGCAGCATCCCCTTTAGAACCCTTACATAATTGGTGTACAACATGTGCACAAAGATCGTATTTCAATTATCTGAGCTCAGAATCCTCTCTAACTCTCATGTAAACTATGCTTTTAACATTTGATTTTCCATCTTCTTTTCCATGTGATCGTCCACTACTTCTAGAGTTTTTATCATTCCAAACCCTGAAATCTCCTCATATACCTTGGCTCCTAAATGTCAGACCTCTATATCCCCATGTAAACCGGATCTAACCCCTACAAACGATGAAGGAAGTTGGAGTTACATTTTCGGTCATCCCCTCTTACCGTAACTGTCCTGCAGGAGGTTTTCTTAAGGGGCCATGATTACTCCTAGAAGGTGGCCTATCTAGAGGTTGGCCCCAATATTTCTTAATCTCAGGTTCTAAAACTGATATAAGCTAGACGGACGACAGCACCATCCGATACATCCTTATGGAATCCCATACATCCTTACATCTTCCCTTCAGAGGACCTAGTTCTAATAACCTTAAGCCCCAAGCCCCTAAACCCTAAACCCCAATTCCAAAACCCCAAACCCTAAACCCTAAACTAAACCAAACCCTAAACCCCACCACCTCCCTCTCCGAGGAAGCTGGTGGCTGCGCATCAGGCGCGCCTTGCCCTTCCCGAGGCAGGCCCTGCGTTCGGAGTTGTTTTTGTGGAGTTTGGGTTTAGAGTTTAGGCTTGAGGGTCTAGGGTTTAAAGTTTAGGGGTTTAGGGTTTTAGGTTGGGGTTTTGCGTAAAAGGGCGCTTAAGATTCTATGTTTCTAGGGATTTCGGAGTTGGGAGGTTTGGGGGTTTGCGGTTTAGGGGTTTAGGGGTTCAAGAGATGTGGCGGTCAAGGAGAAAGCCATGGTAGTAGTGGATTTCCGGACTCAGGATGTGTACAACAGCAACATGAACTGTGTAAGGTGTGAGGCCTGATGAATTTCTATCCTTTCAGACCATGTATCCACTTTCGCCTTTCTGCTGCAGAAATAACCTTGCGATTGTGGCTAAGACCACAGACTTTACTTTCGGCCCTGTTCCAAACTCTGAGTGCAAGCTTTGTACATTTCGAGCATCAGTTGACGCGAAATTGAAAGGGCTCAGAGCCTTGGGTGAATGGACGGACCTTTGGCCCGCAGAGGACAGTGCGCAATGCCGCAGCCGGGAGCGTGAGGTCGAGGCCATAAACGGGACATTCCAGGGAGAAGCTTGAACATTACCAAGCTAATGGATGCTGACGATGATGATGGTGATGATGATACTGACAGTGCAAAATCAGAATGGTAAGCGAGGAGATGAGTCTTCGTGGTCCGATTAGTGCCGCGCTTTGTGCGGCAAAAAATTAGCATAGCATGAGCTTTAGGATCGCAGCTATGACTGTGACCAGGCTACTTTGCAGTGCAGGAGCTTCAATTGCGGCTCGTGGTTCAGGGTCCAGGGTTTCTGTTTAGAGCCGAGTTTAAGCTGTCCGGCTCTGGCACCGACAAGTTGGTCATGTACCAATATCTGGCGTAAGCAGCGGTCTGTACGCTCTTATGCCTTGTGGGAAATGGAAAAGCACCCCCCTCTCTGGGCAAAACTCCTCCCCAATGGTCTGAAGTAATGGGCCGGGTGGGGCCTTTGTTCTGGAGTCAGGGTCGTAGCGTCATCCCTGCACTCAGCCTTGCCTATCCTCCAAGCAGATTCCTGATATGGCCCTTGTGAGCTATCGTTCGAAGTCGGCAACATGAAGATTATCACGCCACTTTCGCTCACATGATCTCAGCATTTTGAATGCTGGCACACTGTGCTCGAACTTACTGCTTCGTAGCCCGCTCCTGATGCCATGCAGCTTCACGAGAGACCTGTAGCAAAAGTTTGCGAGGGCCCCACAAGCTAAACCAGAAGGGCCCAAATCATACAGTCATACAGCAGAACCCCTAAGCCCCGTAGACCCTCAGCCCATGAACCCTGAACTCTGTGGAGGTCATCTCCGCCAACGTGTCAGCCCAGATCCGTGGCTGCGAGCAGACCATCCACCAGATCCGCCACATCGGAAGGAGGAAGGAAGGCAAGGGCCTGGGTTTAGGATGTAAAGTTTGAAGTTTAGGTTTTAGGGGCTTAGGGGATTAGGGGTTTAGGGATAAGGGTTTTTAGTTTAGGGTTTAGGCTGCTCGGGTGTGGCGCAGTTGTCATCGCATTCTCCTCTTTGATATCATTCCCCAAGCTCAGCATGATGTACTTCATGATGTACTTCAGCATTTGGCTTGTTCGACATAAGAGTGCGTACTGCCTCCTACTTTTGCGTGTTTCATCTTGCCACGGGAGCCTCTTAAAGGGGAGTTGTTCCTGGCTGCCGGCAGTCATCAAAGCCCGCTTTTACAAGGGTTTAAAGTTTAAAAGGTTTAGGCATCCCCAATAGTTGAGAACCGTTGAGAACCAGATGGACAAGAACATGAAACATGACATGGAAACCTGGGACTATACAGTACGGTGGGGTAATTTAGGGGGACTAGGAGCCAGGGCCTCGGGTCAATAGAGATCTGGGGTGTATAGGCGGCATATATAGGGATTATTTAGGGTTTGTAGAAATACACAGCCTCAGCAGCAGAAGAAAGGAGGGCCTGTCGAATCTTCGCGGTTTCGGTCAAGGGTTTCAAAATCCCACCGTGATCTTGCAGTGCAGTTCCTCTGGGGCGCATAGATGCAGGCGTGCTAGACGATGAGTTCCGACAGAACATGCAGAGGAGCTGGGCAGGGTTTTGAACATCGGTGGTTCTGAAATCGTGACTAATCTTTAATCACGTCGCAATCCACGCGTATTCAGGGCACACATTGACGGCGCCTTCAGTTTTGATTGGGGTTACTTGCAGCAGTGATGTGTGTGCCTGAGTGGCATCGCAATGAACATTTCAAACTCTTCATGAGCCATAAGAGGGATAGTAGTTCAACTGTGATCATAGTCCTGCTGGGCATGGTTTTCAATTTTCAAGATGGAGTCACACTGGCATGAATGGTAAGCAAGCCACGGCTTTTCTTCTCATGTCCTGTATGGTCGGGCACGCTGCTTTGAATGCCGACTCCTGCCACCTTCGCTCCGAATGCAAAGTCCTACCACGCATTGACTTTCAACTTTGCGAAAGCTGGCATGACAGTTTGAGCTGAACTGCTACTTCATCTTCTCGCCATCTGCGCTGAAGCAAGCCTTCCTCGCCAGCCACCGTTTCTTTGCCAGGAACTTGGCCTCCCAGCTGCAGTCTCTCTCCAAGCGTTGCCGCGAACTGCAGAAGGCCAGGTGAAGGGTCCCGGTTTGTGGGTGCCCCCAGGGTTTGAACTATTGCTACTACGCACCATTACTATTACCATCATATATTATGGTTTTTGTCATCATCATTTTCTATTACACTTAGCATTTCCAACTGCGGCCCTCTAGCTGCCATTCTCGTTTTTCGGGAGTGTTAAATAAATATATATATATATGATAGAGAGCCTTTTAGGGTCTATTTGGACGCTCAATTAAAATAGTATTGAATTTCCGTTCATTACCAAATATTTTAAATTAAATGAATTAATTAAAGTAATTCGGCTAGAATTAATTTGATTATTTTTTTTTGGGGCCCGAAATAAATTAAATGAATTAGTTAAATTAATTCCAGCCGAATGAATTTAATTAATTAATTTAAATAAATAGAGGA